ACCGCCACACACCCTGCCGCGCCCGCATCTCCGATTCCGAACTCTTTCGCGTCCCGGCAACACGGGGCATGACAAACGAGTACAGGTATAGAATAGTACAACGGTTAAATGGCCATTTAAAAGCGTACATATGTCATCCCTGGTAAAAATGGTTCTCATAAATTTTCATACAATTTCTCATCTTATTATTTTTTTTAATGTTGTTATGTCATTAAATCTGAACGATTTATCCGTCATGCAATAAGTACTGAATGCAGCAGCACCGAATAAAATATTAGTCTCGCTATGTAAATAACTTTTACAGAATTTTTTTGATGGTTTATTTAAAAATATATTATGCTTCGATTTTGATAAAACTTAATACAATCTGAACGGGACGATCGACCAAATTAATTCGCACATGTAACCCTTATAGAAATATCATACTAAGAATTATTGATAATTACTTATTATCCAGTATTTTTAATACTAAAAAAAATAAGTAATTATTAATGATTCTTAGTATGATATTTCTATAAGGGAAAAGTTCAGTATTTTATTAACATGATGGAAAAATGTTATTATCTGCTGTTTTATTCCAGTAATTTTCTATACAGTCCTTGATAGAAAATTAATTTCGAATTATCGTGCCGTTCTCTCTTACATTATTTATCCGCTAAACGGTTTCGTCTATATTTTGCGGTTTAAAAGGCAAACAAACTATAAGATTTTTCTTCTTTAAACTTTCAGTGAGCAATTATAAAGCGTTTTTTATCAAGTGAGCAATTGGTGTAGTGTCTAAGGCGACGGACGTTTATCCAAAACATGTCTTCAGTTCAAGATCTCACCAGAGAAAATCTTAAAAATTATGAAAAAATAATATAGAAAAACTTTTTTTTTCATAGTATTTTATGAGTATTTATGAGAAAGCGCTTATTCTATGAGTAATTATGAAAAATTATGAGAAAATTTAATTGAAGAACCTACGAAACGACAGGATCTGCGCGCAATCTGCAGCCAATCTGCCGTCA